CCATTCCCTTAGGGGCCCATGAAATAGCCAGGCCCATGCTGGAGACCCCAGGGTGCAAGGCAGTACTGGAGGTGGGAAGCAGAGGTTTGGATAAGGCAGCAGCAGTGTAGGGTATAAGGACATCAGGGAGGGCTTTTTGCAGCTCACTCTGTGCCCCTTCACACGGCGGCCCCAGTGCTGGCGACCCCAAAACTGTCCACATCATATCCCATGCCCAGTCACCATGCAGAGGTTTGAGCAAGAATAAGAAGCCTTCCCCAGGGACATAACCAGGCTTTTTGGGAAGAGTCAAAGGCCAGACTTCAGCATGTCCCTTGGTGTCAGGCAGCAAGAGCGGCTCCTCCCTGCCGCAGCCACCATGAACAGAAACCAAAGGCTGCATCCTTGTCCCCTGGTCTCCATCCCAACCCGGCACAGACGGACACGCAGGCTCACCCGCTCGGGTACTGCAGCTTTATTTGAATGAAACAATCCACGCTGAGAGTCTATAGGTTACACGGCGGGCGCGTCGGGGTTTGGGGGGGGTGGGAGGTGGACGAGGCAACGCTTATAAAACATCTCACCCTGTTTAAAAGGTTCGGTTCAGTCCCTTTGTGCTTTGTGCTTTGAACGTTGCGGACGTCTGGGTGTCGTGGCGGCGAGAGGGCCCCGGCTCTGCTCGGCGGCAGAGGCAGCACCCTACGAGATGTGGAGCGGGACGGGACAAGACATGGTGGCGATGAGGAGGCAGGTGGAGGCTCTGTCCCAGGGCCCCCACCCAGGATGCCGATGTGAAAAGAAACAGGCGACACCAGAGGACCCCCCCTTTCTCCGTGGTATCCCCAAATACACAGAGTCTGTGCACAGCTCCTTTCGGGGGGGTGTTTCTGGGTGCTTCCGTCAGGTCAACACATACTTTCTACTGGCCTTGGCAACCTGGAAGCATGAGAGGGGTGGCATCTTGCTGGCTCTGGATCCCACTGAAGTGGCTCACTGTTGGGCCTGAGCTGGTTCTCCCTGTCCCTTGCAAGCTGAGGACGGGATTTTGGTGTGATCCCCATCTATGGGATCCAGGGATGATCTGCTGCTGGTCTCTCCAGGCTGGAAATGAAATGCCTGGTGAGGGTGAGTTTGGGGTAGGAGGATGGAGTGAGGAAGAGTGTGGGAAGCACTGCCTGATGCTCACCTCTGGCCACAGCTGCTGCCCCGTGAGGCAGTCGCATACTGGGTGACAGCCCCTTTCCTCCTCTGTGTGCGTTGTAATACAGGCAGGATGGTTCTGGTTGGGAAAAAAGACCCAAGTGAAACCATCCAGCACCAAATCTCCCACCCCATCTAGACACAGGGGACTGTCTCCATGCTGTTAGGCAAGGGCTATGACCAAAAGCACAAAGAAGAGCCAAGTATCTGTAGCATCCCCAGCTTTTTGGGAATGTCCTGAGAGATGGATGCATGTCGTGGAGCCCTCTGGGGTGAGAGGGTAGATCTAGACGATCCCAAGAGCCATGAAAACAGGCCAAGATCATCTACTTGAAAGCACTGGCACTAGGCCCCTTTACCCAGAGCTGATGCCACCAGTTACACCAATGCACTGAGAAGCTAGGGCTGGGGAGCAGAAGAGGACAAACAGCAAGGCTTGATAAGAGCAACAGGTCACCTCCAGCAAACTCTGGGAGAGTCTTGTCCCAGGACGTTACGTACCAAGGGGCCCCTAGGAAACAACCAGATAAATGCACAGGAAAGCTCCTTTGCTCCGCTTCCCCCACCAGCATCCGAATTTCCCAGGGAACCTTCCAGTGGCAGCAAGGAATTGATTTTCCCCTCTCACCACAACCTAGGTGCTGTCTGAGCCCACCGTGCCATTACAGCCTCTGCTGGCTGTTGCTCTGTGTTTACTGGTACCAGTAACCAATTCCCAGGACCAAGGCCCAGTGGGACAAGATATATACCAAATGTCCCCACCTTGGAGGGCGCTCAGCACCTTGCCCGAGGTGCTCAGCACAGGATCAGGCACTTGAGGGGGAACATCTGCAATCACCTCCTGGGCTGGCTGAGGGATGGGTTGACCCACCCGGAGACCTGCAAAGGGTTCGAGTGTGGCCAGTGGGAGAAGGGAAAGCTGGGAAGCTGCTGCATCCAGAAGAGGTTTTTAAGTCCTTTCTCCTCTCTACTGCATCACTGGCAGCTGCTGCACACCCACACCTCTGTTTGCAGTCCCGATCTTTTCACATGCTGCTAAGATGATGCACCTCACCAAAACTGGACCTACACTGTGCAAGCAACTCCTGGAGACACCTTCATCTCAATGCCATCTTATTATCACAGCACCAAAAGAAAACCAGCTGGTGCCTGCCAGCAGGGGCTGAGATGCAGGTGGGGAGGTGGGGCAGCTCTCTTGGAGCTGTGTGGGCTCAGCCTGCACGCAGAGCAGCTGTAATGCTGGGGGCAAAGAAGTTGCTGCTCACCCCCCTGCCTGAGCAGGACTGCCAACGCCTGGTGTATTTCAGCTCCGACCCAGTTCCTGCCTGTGCTGATGAACTTGTGCCACAGGTATGCAAGTTTTGACCATCCAGGAGTAAATCCTCGCGGTAACAGCTGGGTTTTATGCAACCAAAAGCCACGCTGCTGCCTAAATGGCAAGACCAGAGCCCAGGTCCTTCTGCCAAAGGAGACCAGGAGGAACGCAGAGATGCTGATGCAGGGTGGCAGAGCAGGCAGTTACCCTTCAGCAGGCTCAGTGCTTAGCCAAGGACTGGCTGTTATCACATCAACCACCGCCAGCAGAGCAGCCAGCCCTGGGCACCAGCCCTGCTGTGGGGAATGGCACTGTGTGAGGGCTGTCCAGCTGTGCTATGCTGCGTCCAGGCCACCCTGGGGGTAAAAAATCCCACTGCAAGCCAAGCACTCATAGCTAAATCAGCCTTTAGGGCAGGAGTCAATGGAAGCATAAAATTGTGCCTCCTTCCACAGCAGCAAGTGGTTTATAGGCCATCCCCAAGCTATACAAAAAAGCGCAGACCTTCCCAGGTCTCCACACAAAAGCTATTTGCCCAGCTCTCCCTGCCAGCAGAGACAGCTTCTCCCTTGCTCCTGTTCCTTTGCAGCTTCCCCAGGGCTTTTCACCACTGCAGTGGTACAGGTTCAAGCTGGGCAATCTGATCTAAGGGTTTTTCTTTCTCTTCCTTCACCTACCATCCAAGCAGCTGCAGAGCTGAGCCCACTGCCTGCCACCACTGAAAACAAGAGAAATGCAGTGTGGAGCCTTCTTTCCTTTTCACAATTAATGCCATCATGCCCTGGCTCATCCTCTCAGCCATCCTTGGTGCTGTCATGAGCCCTCTTTTTCCCATGGGAAGACAGGATGTGACCTTCACAAGGTCCCTGATGGAGCCAACACATGCCCTGAAGTCCTCTTGTCTTTCTGCTCCATCACCAGCACCCAGGCAGCCCCAGCAGCCCTGTGCCAGATGGAGATGGAGATGGAGGGAGCCAGATGGAGAAGGTGACCACACCAGGCTGTGAGCAGCCACCTGAAGACCCCAAGACCCCCGTGATGGGCTGGGTGGTTGCAGACAATCAGGCAAACTGGCATGTGTCTTGCTCCAAAGGGGTGACTGCTGAAAAGCACATATATATCACAGCTACCAATTGGGATGCTGAGTGTACTGGGGCTATTCAGCTCCCTGCTGGAAACCACCAGCCGCCAGTTATTACCAGGGAGTGTAAATTGGGTCCTGTTAAAATGCAATTTCCAGAGCTCTCCGGGACTTGTTTTTCTGCAAATGCCTTTTGTCTGCATTAAATGCCTTCCCAGGCTGAGCAGGATGAGCAGGTAATAGTGGGGCCAAAGTAAAACACACATGGAGGCAGCACCTGGCTTCCCCAGCAGCCTGCATGGGGTCGTGCTGCTATTTGCCCGGTGGCTCCGCAGTGCAGGGTGCACCCGCATTGAAGGCAGCCTGGAAGAAACAAGATGCCCTGAGCAGTTCAGATCCCTGCCAAAGCCATGAGGGCGAGAGATGGCTTCTCTCTTGCACAGCAGACACTCACAGTGCAGCTCCTGTCCCCATCAAAGGCAGCATCCTGCTCCCTGGGCGCAGAGCTGGGCATCACCTGGGGGCGATGACGGATGAAGGAGCCCCTGGCTATTCCCACAGGCAGAACTCCCTGCCTGAGCCTTGCTGAGGGATAGAGGGGAGCAGGGATTCCTCCTGCCGGCACCTTGCACAGGGGTGGGCTCAGCCTGGAGGCAAGGCTGAGGGCAGTGATGGAGGGATGCTGATCGGTGACTGTCCCGGCCGGCTAGGTGCCCAAGAGCAGAGTGGTTCTCCAGGTGCGGAGAGGGAGGGACAGGCTGGGGAGGGGGCTCCCTGCCCTCCCTGCGGCACTGCTGCATTTCCACGTCATTCTGGAGGAGTGCACCCGCAGGACTTTGTACAGAGAGAAATCAGATTTCCATACTTCGAACAGCAATGGAGAGCGGAACACAATTTGTACGGCATTTACTATTCTCGTTCATACAACCACAAATTATCCTTGCAGGAGATTTTCCAGCCTAAACACCTGAACACCCCCCCCACCACCACCACCACTGTTCCCCTGATCGCCACCCTACCTCCTTCCAGAACAAAACCACCTCCCAGAAGCCGGGCTCCCCGTTGCTGCTGGGCAGACCAGGCGCGCCGTGCCCACCCGTGCAGCTCAGGAGCTGCCGAGCCATTCACATGCTCCGCGCCGCGCTGAGATTTGTCACGGAGATGAAACATCTTTTCGCTCCCGTACGGCCGGGAAGAGCTGTGCTCAGGCATTCCGAATTACTTAACTTCGCATCAAATGAAACACATTTGCTCCCTCGCTTTCCAGCGGCTGATCTACGTGGGAGAAAAATAGGCTATTACTACTACCAGCCGGGAGCTGCTCCTCGGAGCAAGTAGTAGGAATTTGTATTTGTGTTGCTAAAAGCCATTGATTAAAGTCCTGTTGATGACCTGTTATTGGGACTTGCATCAAAACGTGGAAAATTATAATACAAAAACTGTATTTTTTTTTCTTTTCAGAATACAATGAACAACTACAAAAAGAGGTTTCAAATGAAAGTTTCTTTGTAAGCCCCGCTTGTAACTACACAGTAGCAGTCACTACTTCTAATATCTACAGCTTATACCCAGGAGCCTGCACACTCACATATTTTCTGTTTTATACTCTGGAAAAAAAAGAAAAAAAAAAAAGAAAAAAAAAAAAGAAATGGAGTATATATCGGCTAACACCCACACAGCATTCTTCCTAATGTATTTCTACAACTACCAAGCAGAGGTCTCCTTGTAAATAAAAGCAGTCTCTTAAATTTATATTGCACTTTTCTTCTGCAGGGACTTTCATTCTATGTACAGGAATAATCTCCACCATCACTGAAATGCAGCCACTTCTGGAGCGGAATAAAGCAGCTACTCGATAGGCACACAGCAACATAAAACATCAGGGAGAGAAACATAATGTACCCAGTTGGGACTGCAACAGATATTTAAGAAGACAGTCTGTAATTAAGTTTAAGGACAGTTATTTAGCCAGAACACTGCGAATATTGTGAGGGGGTCTTTAATTGTGAGGGGTAAGGGGCATGGCTTTATGTCTCACCTGGGGTGCATTACCTCCTCGAGAGGAATTGCCCCCTCAAGCGTGGGGCTGGGGTAGCAAACCCCAAATACCACTGCCCTTGGAGAGCAGGGATGGAGCCTTCCCCTCCACCACAGCACACACACACACGCACAAACAGACCCCCTCCATCGCTGCACAGCTTCTCATCCTTGCTGCTGAAGTGCCTCTTTCCTCTACTACGCTCTCTCTGCACACCTGCCAGGGAAATGAGGTCCTTCCTTTCTTCCTCGGTACTTCTGACAAGCCGAGGCACTTGGGTTAATGACTTTCCCCCAAACTCGCCAGCAGCTGCTTTCAAGCCAGAGGTAAAGGAGAAGAGCTCTAAGTGGGAAGGGGCTCCCTGAGACTGTTTCTGAAGCTGCTGTGCTGGCAAGAGGCACGCCTGCTCCTGGCAGCAGGAGAAGGCTTCACCTCTGGCTGGGGCGAGCTGCTGGATCTGCCCTGGACCCATGGCCACGGGTCAGCTTGTGAGGCATTTACACCCTTCCTCGCAGGTATGTTCCACCAGTGCTGGAGCAAGGCCATGAGGGGCTCTGCCTCAAGGCCTGGGAGGTGAGGTGGTTGCCCTGAGCTCTTGCCAGGGGCAGAGTGGTGAATTCTGGCCTCCAGCAAACACTGAGGACAGGAAGAGCAGAGCAATGGACGGAAAGAGCTCAGCTAAGAGATGACAAGGGCACCGATTGCCTGTGAAAACGGCAACAGACAGCAAGAAGCTGAGTTGCTCTAGGCACACACAACATCCCACAGCGCTGCCTGGCCCTGGGAGACTGCCACAGATCTCCTGGTCAGATATTCAGTGTGATCAAGGTCTGGGCTCTGGAGGGAGGAACGGAGACAGAGCAGATGATAGGGATCATTCCTGGAAGTGGAGAAGAGCAACAGGATCAAGGCCCTCTCATCCCTTTCACCTGTCTTGCAAGGCCCCCTGTGAAGGCGTTCCCCTCGTCCCCCAGAGCTGATGCCCTTTTCTCTCTCCAAAGCTGGATGGGAGGTGTTAGTGCAGAGGAACTCCTGCCCAGGAGCAAAGACAGCTGGGTTTGAGGACTTCAGACTGCATTTCTTGGGAGTGAAACAGAAGCTTTTCCCCTCCATCTGTGGAGAAAAGGAGGCACCAGCCGTTTCCAGAAGCTGAGCAGCGCAGGAGGCAGCCAGTACATTCAGGTGGTTTTGGACAAACACAGCTGTCTCAGGGAAGCTGATGTGGTCATTAGAAATGGGGAGAGAGCCATGGGTACGGGGGGTGGTGAGGGAGTTCATTGTACATCTGTGGTGCCCCGGGTGTGGAGTTCAGGTGGGGTGCCCCTTAGGGGGAGAAATCCTGTTTATATAGCAGGCTGGTAAGCCCCAGTCCACAGCACTATGGGGCCAACTCTGTCCCGTGCAGGGAGCCAAATCATGCCCAGAGCTGCTTCCAGTAGCAGCAAGGCTCTCACAGTGCTGGGCAGTCCCTTCTCCTGGGGCTTCACCTGAAGCAGCATGTGCCTCCACCCTGAGCAGGCCAGGTCTGCTGCAGAGACACCAGCTTTACCCCTTCCTGATGCCAGCAGAAAGAAGACGAAGCCCCCACTCCCTGTTTGTTCCCATGTGTCTCAGGGACAAACAGCAGCAGAGCTCAGCACGAGTCCCTTTTTCTAGTCCAGCTTCCTGCCTCCATCCTTCCTTGGGGCACTTTCCTGCCTGTCCCACCCTGCAGCTCCTCAACCTATTTCGTTGCCAGTGGGAGCAGAGTAGCCCTAAGACTGCACGTGCTGACAAAACCTAGCCACCTCTCCCCTGAGCAGCGGTGCTGTTGCCACATTTCACAATCTCTGCAGATAAGGCCTCAGCAGTTTTCTGACCAGGGGCTGCCTCGTGGGCACGGGGCCTGCTGCTTGGCAGGAGGAGGTTGAGATGCCTGACCCTTCCCATAACCCAAAATGCTCAGGTGTTGGGGAGTTAGGCAAAGGAATTAAAGACTAGAATAAATAACTAATGAGACAGACAGAGAAGCAATCCTGGGCTTAGGGCTGAGGCGGCTCGTATCCCAAATTAAGTCTGGGGAAGCCAATGTGCAACACCTTCCCCTTTCCCATCCCACCCCACCCCAGCGCATCCCTCAGCCCCGCTGAGAGACCTTTCTGTCTGCAGCTCAGACCTGCTCTCACAGCTTCTCCACCCAGCCGGAGGTGCTGAGAAAGGGAACGAGGCTGAGGCCAGCACCACGGCCGGCTCCAGCCGGGCCTCCCCCACCCCTGAGCATGGTCCATGGGATGGGTCCATTCCTGCTCCGTCTTCTTCAGGCCGCCGGGCGAGAAGCACAGAGAGGTGGGGACAGGACAGCAGCGCGAGCCAAAGCAAACCACACTGGGTGTAGGGGGGGGCAATTAAATACATGGGAGCCTGGAGGATGAGGGTGGATGGAGACACTGAAGCACATGCGGACGAGGCAAGGTGCTCCGGCCACCGGCACGTGGGGCTGCCGCTGCGGTGCTGCAGGGCAGCCCCAGCCAGCAGGGGAGCACGGGGCGCCGAGGGGAGCACTGCGGTGTGTCATCCACGAAGCCGTGGGCTCTGCAGTAAAGAAGGTAACTGTTCTGGTAGAAATTTGTGCTTTAATATATTTTTTGTTTGTTTGTATGTTTGTTTGTTTAAAACAAGTTCCCACTTCCCTGAGGAAGCCCTGTCCGACATTCCCGAGGAACCATGGGGGTGTTTTTTTTCCTCCTTTAGTTGCTCTTCACAATTCTTCATTCCTATTTTTTGTCTTTCGTTCCTTCTTTCCTGTTTTTCTGTTTCTTTCCTTCCTTCCTCTCTTTCTCTCACTCTCTTGTGCACGTGCTTTTAAAAAGACCTTGTCTTTATTTTTTTAATTTTGTTTTAGACATTACGACTTTCTCAAGGAGTGCTCCAGTTCTGAGCCAGATCCCTTTGCGTGGTCATGCCTGTCAGTCTTTGGTAACGTATGGACACTTTGGTGTGCCAGTGAGGAGGGGAGGAAGAGGAGCAGAGGTGGCTGAGTAGGAAAGGAGCAGGAATGTCTCGGTCCGAAGACAGGAGCGCTCGCTTGCCATCATCTGAGCAGCACGTAAAGGAAGAAAGTCAATGGGCCACAAAGACAAGGGCTGTGCAGGGCTGGGACACCATTTCCTGGAAGAGCAACCGCTGCCAGCCAAGGAGAGAGAAAGAGAATTAGTGATGGGACAGAGACAGACCTCATCAAACACGTCAGTGCACATCAGTGTCACCACCTCTCCTCCCACCCCAAACCACAAAGCACATCTCAGATCTAATGAAAGTTCTTTATACCCTTCCCTGGACATTTTCAAGGCTTCCCAATTTTATTTTCTTTCCAGCAGGGGTGAAAATGCTGAATCTTGGTTACTTTTGCAATCCAACCTTCCTCTCTTTCTCAGAAGATTCAACTTGAGCCAAAAAAAAAGTTCTGCTTGTGGTTTGGTTGGAGCTTGGCCATGCTAGGCTGAAAAAGATCTTTAACTGCACTGAAAATTTGGACGTTTTGGGGGCGTTCTGCCTGTTTTGATGTTTTGTTTTCCCCCTCACCTTTGGAACTAAGAAAATCGTTGACAGAAACTCTTTCTCAACATTATTTTTCTTTCAAAATAAATAAATAAAACCATGCTTGCAAATCTCTGGCTTGAATACAATGGACATCAGCTCTCCTGCCTAACTGGTGCATGTTACTGAGGGCACAGTCAGGACTAAGGCATGGGACACACCAGTGATTCCTACCCCGGGACTAACATCTGCATACTGATTGTGCACCTTGCTATGGCTTCGACCTCAGTGAGATGGGGCTGTCTCATTTCCTGGAAAGCCAGCACCAGGAAAACGTGGATGTGAGCTAAGCACCATTGTCAGGATCAGGAGGGAGGTGATATTTAGCTCAGGTAGCTTGCTCCCATCACTCGTGTGATACCCTGCCTGGCCATGCCTCTCTGCTCAGAGGGTAATGGGAAGAAGAACAGCAATCCTTGCTCCAGGCCACAAGAGGCAGATTTTTTTCCTGGATAAAGGTTGACTTAACCCTGCAGAAGCCCTTTAGCACTTTCCCTTTCCAAAGCCACCATACCTAGGGCTTCCAGGAAATTAAATATTGCAGAAGCTTTTAGCAGCCTGGGGGCAACACCTCCAACCCAACCTACTGGCATGGACTTCAGCATGCTGGTGTCTGGCAGCACAGCTCCTACAGGATGTTCCTCTGAGCTCTTGCTGACTCACTGCTATAAAGAATGAGTTCAAGGGTCTGACAGGGCCTCTCCTATCTTCTGTTGGCGGAGCTGACCATCTTGTTGGGTCCCATCAGTACATCACTGTTCTGTGAAAGGAGCTATACATCCCTAGCACATGCATTCACGTCTGCACCCCCACCGGCTGGTTTTCCCCTGAGGCACACACACTCTCACCCTTGTTTGGTCCAATTGGCTTCCTCGGACAGTCCCCCTTTTTCAGAGTGACATCATCGATGGCAATGTCCCCCTCGTAGCTTGTGCCCCGGACACCTTCAAAGATGATCTGCAACCAGAGCACGGGGCAGAGCCCCCTGTGAAGCTGCGGAGGACCTGCTCCCTTCCCATGCAGGGGGAACAGCCTCACTGCAGGGCTCTGCAGGGATGAGCAGGGCACAGATGAGCCTTTACCAGTCCCCCAGTGAACGACTCCCCCTATCTCTCCAGCACGCACAGGATTTGGAGGGCTGAGCCCCATAGCTTAGTGTGCCAACCCCAGTGTGCTTAGCATCTGCAGAGTCAAAAAATGAGCATGTAGAGTTTTGCTTTATTTAGTATGTTACATGAGCAAACCCAGCACTGAATAGCACTCACAAGAGTAACTAAATCCTTATTTATTATTTTACAGTACCCAAAAGTGTGCTGGGCGTTTTGCCACAGTACCACATCTTACCAGCCTGCACAGCCCCAGCTCTCACAAACAACCCTACAACAGCCAAGTACCCTGTTGGGCAAAGGCACCTGCAATAAAACATCCAGTAACAAAGCCACACACTTGTCTGTTACTCATAAATGATTTGTCGAGGGGATACAGCGTGCCCAGTCCACATTCACAGGCTGTCCTATGGTCCTAAACCAGAGGCACTGTGGGGGTGGGCTCTTGTAAGACACGCTATGAGAAACCTCCAGCGCTGTCACCTCTGATTTCCACTAATCAGCTCCAGTGACCCTGAGGGTGCAGAGCTCCCACATGCCCTCCCCATGCTTTACCAGTCCCCATGCCATGGAGGCAGACCTGTGCTGGGAGATGTCCTATGGGCACATGGATGGAGTAGGTAGCAGGCAGCTCCTCGGTGGTGGACCTGACTTACCTGGAAGGGTCCTGGTGGGTTGATGGGCACGTGTGCTTGCTGCCACATGTTCCCCCTGTTCCCGCTGAGTGACCACACCTGGGTGTCGATGGCCCGCTTGTTCCGCACACGAACCAGCAGATTCAAGGAGCCTGTAGGGGAGAAACCGGGAGCTGGTGACATGGGGCATGCAGGAAGCCCAGCTTGATGGGCTGATCCTCGGTGTAGCTTTTTCTTCTGGGTTGACCTACATGTCCCACTGGCAATATTTCAACCACCTGGGCTATCTAAGGAAGATACAGACCCTGATGAAGACAGAGAGGACCTGATGAGGAAGAAAGAGTTTGTGGCATGGCCAATGTGGCCTTACACAAAAAGTGTGTGGCAGAAAGGCTTACTGCAAGGGACTTCCAGACGGGTCCTGTTCAACCTCCTGCCTGAAGCTGTTTCCTGAAATTCTCTGAGGACAACAGCTTTTCTGAATGTCCAACATGAACCTCAATGCTGCCATGTGTGGCCACTGTTCCCTGTTATATTGTCACATACTACCAGTAAGAGTTTGGACCCCTTATCTTTTTAATTACCCTTCAAATAGTCAGGGGCCAAGGGCTGATAGCAGCCTCCTCTTCACCAGACTGAGCAAGTTCAGCTCCTATGACCTCTCTTCTCCAGGACATGTGCTCTAGGCCCTTGACCAGCCTGATGCCTCTCCGATGGACCCACACCAGTTCCTCCACATCCTACTTGAACTGGGGAGGCCAGGACACACGTTCCCCTCTCCACATTCACCACTAACACCTGGCACATGCAGCCTACAGCCTTCTCCTTGCTCTCTGGCCATTAGAAATGTGACCCATGTCCTCAGCAGCCACTTGCTTCCCATCCCAGCCCCCAGGTTTCAGAGGGACACAAACACTCCGTGAATCAGCACTGGCTTTAGGCCCTTGCAATCAAAACAATTCCCCAAAGGTTTTGTCTACCATTAAAACAAAAACAAAGCCAACAAATCTCAAAGCGTTTCCAGTTTTCGCTTTGAAAAGTGTCACACCCCCCCTTACACTCCATCCACAAATGAAACTATCTGTTTACCTTTCTGTAGTGTCTTTTCAGCAATCCTCCCCAGCTGACTGTTTTTTTGTTTGTTTGTTTGTTTGTTTTTCCTTTTCTGAAAACATTTTTAAACATTCATTTGGGGTTGAACTGAAACACTTTTTCTTTTTTTTTCAATTCAGCTGGTGAACCAAAAAAATCAATCATGACTCTATGGTTGTTCATCAGTGTTTCTGGTCTCATACCCAGATGTATTACCTCTGAGAGCAGAGAGGCAATAACAGCCTTTACTTAGGTGTCCTTAGTCTGTCTGTGCTTGGGATGCTGCTTTCCCACCTGGTGCACTTTTCTGAAAGGCAGCAGGGAATGGTCAGGTGAAGGGGTAGGGAAAGAGGCTTTCCTAAATAACGTCCTTCCTATACAATACCCTGAAGTTCTTCTTGGCATGTCAGCCCTGGGGTTACTGTGTGAAGGACAAGGACATGGAAGTACCCCTGTCAAGTGCCTGGTTGTCAGAGAGCGAGATACATTACAGGGAGTTCAGAGATGCACAATAAAGATGATTAAATGTTTAGATTCTGAGTGGCTGACTTACAAGAAAAGGTTAAAAGAATGAAATATGTGTATAATTTAGTGAACTGAGAAAAGACGGGCATGGTTATTGACTGGAAATATTCGGAAGCTCTAGCATTAATGCTGGCTGAGAAAACCAGATGAAAGGAGTGACCAGCCAGGGAGAGGGCAGGACTGCAGGGTCTGCAGGGAAGGAGGGATTCCTGCTGTCATCGGGAGGACATCTCACCACCTAGGATGCAGCCTGACCAGCCCACAGAGCCAACATCCCCCTTCCAATTCCTGCAAGCCAAAGGTGAATAAGAGAAAGGAGAGAAACATCCTTCTGCCTGGAAATATCCCGCTATTGAATTCCTTTCCCCAGTGGTTCTAAGTTTCCCAGCTGGGATGCACACCACAGCCCAAGGTGAGGAGCGAAATAACTTGTTTCTCTCCTGGGATCAGCTGGCACTGTGCGAGCTCAGGGACAGAGGCAAGCAGGTGGGATCATGCTTCTGGAAATGCTATGCCTAGGATGGACAGAAGACACCACAGGAGCCTCTGACAAAACCAGCTTTGAGCCACTGGCTTCTTGGTGTCCTCCTTGACCTCTGGAGCTTTGGAGGAGTCTCACTGGGATGCATACCCAGTCCACTGGAGCCTGTGGCCAAACCAATGGTCCACACGGGGTCTACGCAACCCCATAGATCAATGTCAGCCACAGTGTGTTCAGAGCAGCTAATTACAGAGGCCAGAGCTGGTGAGGTGAGGAACTGAGAGAGAATGAAGAATTAATGTGGAGCTGCCAGCAAGCATGGATTAAAAACAACCGCTGTCTATTCTAACCTCATTTGGGGACTTGCAGCTAGGATCTGCTGCACCAGAGCCTGGCTGAGCAGCCAGCACTGGGACAAATCAGGCGGCAAATGAACTTTGGTGCCCTAGGATAAAAGAGAAGGAGAGATAGAAAGGGACCCAGAGAAGCATCTGGAATGCAAATCAGTGCCCCCAAAGCACTGGCTGTGAATACCTGGCCTGAACCCAAACTGAGCCTGAGCATTTCCTGGCTGACAGCTCACTGTCCTTGCAGCAAGAGGAGAAAAAGTTTCAACCTTTTGGCCTCCAAATTCCCTAGTAGAACTGTTCTGAACATGAGCAGGCACTCTTCAAGTGGTTTGCAATTGGAAAGGAAGCTCCCCTATCTGCCCACAACATGCTATGTTTCACCATCCCTGTCTACACACTGAAAACTGAAGGTCAAAACAGCCAAGCAATATGCCCATGACTGTCTTACAAATCAGTCAGAGGTGCAAAGGGGGGTCAGATCTGCTGCTTGTAGCCTACGTGCAATCCCAGCTAAGTTACAAATCCTCCCCAAGGCTGGGAAACAGCCATAAACCCTCCCTTCTCCAGTAACACTGTCACTGGGAATGTGCTTCTGGGAGACATGACAGGGACTCTAGGCCTTCAAACTAAACAGGGGTGAAGCCCCTGTCCATATGAGCTGGGCTGACAGTGTCGTAGGTGTTAAAGAGTGCACAAGTCTTCTGCTTTAGTCCTTTCCTCCTTGTGCCTGTCTGCCACAGTCTGCCAGTCCAGCTTAATGGCATGTATCCTGGTGTGGAAGTGCCTGGAAATGAACATTCAGAACTGAGCTACAGGCAGAGCCATCTAACTTAGCAGTCCTGCGCTACAGAAAGCCCCAAGTCATCTCTCTAATTGCTCAGAGCTTCTTTATCTCTGCTTTTCAGTCTGGCCTGAAAGGCAGCTCCGTGATGGAACAAGTACTGAAGGGCTTTGTGTTCTCCAAGGGAAAGCTTTGGGTGCAGCCCACTGCCCTAGCACCAGGTATTGTTCCAGGATCCTACTTACATCAGAATCCTTATGCAGGAAGCAGAGGAAGGCTCTGGATCAAATGGAAGGTGGAACCTATGGAGATATTGAAGTCCATAGCTCCTGACCCCTGGTGAACCCACATCTCTCCACACCCACCTCTGTGCAATGTGGCAACGTCCCTCTCAGGCCTAATTAACTCTGCTTATACCCTGTGTACCTTTCAGCATGACACACAAGTTCAGGCCAAACCTGATGCTTGTAAGATCCCAAAGATGCTCCTCCTGGAGCAGAAATTCATCACCCAAACACCACCGTGCAGAAGGTGGGCAATGCACGGACCACTCCTGTGCGGGGACTGGGGACCCCATTCACAGCTGTGACGCTAACTGGCCACACGATCCTTAGCAAACTGCTTTCACCCTCCGTGCTTTATTCCCCTTATCCGCTGACATGACATGATGAAGGTGATGAAGAGGGATAATAACGTTCACTGGCTGAGAGGGGAATTCAGAAACATCAAATGTTTTACGAGTGCTCTAAGACCTGAGAAAGAATATACCAGAGAACAGGAATACCTGAGCTCTTCTGCCTTTCCAACAGTCAAAGGTGAAGAAAAACCAAAGTAGGACCTACCCTCCAACCCCCATGCCTCTATCAGTGAAAGGCCCTTCTGGGATGTTCTCCTACGCCAGCTGTTGCAGCCAAGTCTTTTGTCTGTTTTTGTACTAAATTCATATCCAGTTTCTTGTATCAGAGTCCAAATCCATCTGGCCAGTTTTGTCACCTCTTTGTTTAGCCATCGCCTTTTCCCCATCTCCTCCATCAGATGTGCCTGGCATTTCCTAAGGGCACACACAAAGACGGGCCATCTATCTGCTGCCGAATCTCTCCAGCTGACCAGAGGCGGGCAAACACAAGAGAAGTCCCAGGATGCCCGCAATCCTGTTGTTACTCTCCCCAAACAAGGCAATCTTCACATTTCTCTTGTAATCTGTATTATTCCTTCTCCCCAAACAAAAGCGAGAATAAAGGCCAGTGAGGAGCGATGAGGAATCAATTACAGCAGGAGCGAGCCCTGCCTTCTGCTGGCTCCCTTTAAGACCAAAGCTGGCATTTCAAGAGTGGCACGCACACAAAAGAGCACCAGCTGGGCTGCCAGATAGGGTAGCCCAAGGGATGCCTTTAAATGTTACCTTCTCACAAGAAGAAAAGGTCTCCTCTCAGTTTCCACGGGTTGGGGACTTCACTGTCACACTGAAAAGCAGCGTGGATCTGGAAGAGCTGGAAAGGCCCAGAGGGGCAGCACCATGGGCACAGGACGTGTGGGGTGGCCGAACAGGCAGAGGTTGCCTCCAGGGCTCTCTGGGGGGCAGCTGGGAGAGTGAACATGGGGTGGGAAAAGGCTGCTGCATGCAGAGTTGGGCACACAGCTCAGTTTATGAGGTTGGGGGGGAAGAGGGGATGAAATTAGCCATAAAGTGAACGAAGACAATGCTGTGCGCTGGGAGGCAGGGTGCTGTGCCAGGCAGAGCTCCGTGGGCTGCATCAGGAAGCTTGTCAGGATTCACAGCCAGGAGCAGGGGGTGCTGCAGGCTCAGGCTGATCTCACCACAGCTCCCTGCCACCTTCCTGCAGCATCCCAGCTCTGGGACCAGGTGTTCCCAGTCTCTATGAACTGTGAAGTTCTGTCTGCAGCCACCGTTTGGGCTTGGCA